CCTGCCTCTCATCAGTGACACCTTCCCTGAGCTCTGCAGGCAGAATGGCATATGTGAACACACCTTTTTCCTTTCCCGGCTGTACTTGTTTGTCACTCTCTCAACATAATTGATTCTTGTCTTAATTCTCTCTTCTCCTCCGCTAAGATATAAGTTCAGGGAGGGCAAAATATTTTATCCCTTACTATTTTTCAGTGTCATGCATGTGGCAGGAACCCAAAAATATGTCTGGTATACAAACTAGTGAATAAGAATAATAATAGTGCTGACCTCACACAGGGGTTGTGATCTCCAATAATTGACGTAAATAACTTAGTACAGTGCTGGGCACATAATAAGTACCCAACTACTGTGAGTTTGTGTTAATGATGTTAGTAATTCTTAGCCACGGCCGCCTAATGTAAGCGGACACTGAGTGGTGGTCTCCAGGCTGAGGACACAGTCTGACAGCCATGATCAGGCATGGGGAAGAGGGTTTATTAAACAAGGGACTGTAGCAAGTCGGTGTTAGAATAGCGCGAGTACAGGATGCATATAACAGAAGCAAGTAACATAACTTAAGGTGGGGAAGAAAGATGGGAAAAGATTACAAGTGGCTTCCTACAAGGGGTGATATTTTACAAGATATGTGAAGTTATCCATGTAAAGATTAAAAAAAGAAATAAACACCTCCTGGCCAATAAGTTATCCTGGTAAAGGTAAGGATGGTTCCAGGTGGATGGGAACCATGTAAAATAGCTTGAAGCCTGGAGAGAACATGAAGCCTTGAAGTGCCGGAAGTGCTGGAGGGGGTCCTGGGAAAACACAGCTGACCTGAATGGCTCGTTTGTGACGACAGTGTCTCAGGCTCTATTAGTAATTGTGCAAAATTTTTAGTCTTAATGTATGATCAAAATTAACTTTAAATATTAGTAAGGGAGATGTTATTTTTCTACACTGCACTCTGAAAATGACTCCTGACCACTTCTAAATCCCAGCTAGGATTCCCGCCAGGGCTCTCTCCCCAGTCCCAGGAGCCAGCAGCTGGCTGTGGGCTTTCTCCTCTGACCTGGCTGCTGAGTGGAAGCATACGCATACCTCCCCTCCTCACAAAAAGAGTCACTTCCTAGTGGAGACAGAGTTGAACATAGATCTTGGATGTAGGCATATCATGGGAATCTTGGCACTTCCATCCACGGCCAGGCCCAGCTAGGCACTGGGGAGGTGACTTGATCTCAGGAAATGTGCAGTATAAAAAAGGGATAAGGCATCGAAACATTAAAATGTCAATTAACAATAAAACCATAAAAAATGTGAAGCTGGTACAATGATGAGAAGGTTACCTAAAGAATGTTAATAGGAAGTCAATAGAGGGAGAGACCATTGCAATCACATAAGACATCCCACAGCAAGGACAGTTTGAACTGGATCCTGGGGAATGAGTAGGATTCTGAGAGACGGCTGACAGCTGGGTGATCAGGCACAGTGACGGGGGAGGTTGTGGGGTGGGGGCAGAGAGGCAGGGGAGGCAGCATAAGCAAAGATGGTAGGAAACTTCAATTACTGTTCTGGGGTTTGGAAGAGACTCTCTTGAACCCAGTGATCTTTCCACTTGCATACTTAAACTAATTCATGCACCTAAATGGGGACGGAGTTATTAAACACCTAGGATTTTGCAAGCTTTGGGGATAGGATTTTAAATTCAACCAAGGAAACAAAAAAAAAAATGATGTGTAAAGAGCAAAGGCATGGATCATAATAGTCAGCTCTTTTACAGTTAGAGCTATTTAAATTTGAAGCTCAAGAAACTACATGTTTAAGTGCCTAAGCAGTCTTCAGTTGACTTTTAATTAACCTCTTTTGCCATTTCTCATCTAGGGAAATTGAAAAATATTTTTATAGTCCAACAAAAACTTATTTTATGCAAGAATTACATACATTTGAAAGTCACTTAAAATAATCTTTCAAAATATGTGATGTTTGCAGCTGAATCAAGCCAAATTGTATTTATCCCTTATCAGTTCTAGCTCTCCTGGCACAGCTCACTTGTTAAGAAGATTCAGACAAAGCCTAGCCTCTGGTGCAAAAGGGAAAACCCACAGTGGTTTGAAAATGAATTTCCCTAATCACACCACATCTCATTAGTTGATTTTTTTTTTAAATGTCCTCCCAAATGTGTACCCACCTCTTGATGCAGACTGTTCTTCCTCTATCCTTCTGAGTTGGAGGAGAGCATTTGTTTGTTCAGCTTAAACTAAATCTCAATAAGGACAAGGAAGAGGTTCTTCTTTCCTTTCACCCTCCCCTCTTGGAAAGAACAAGACCATGCTAGAGTTGCCTAAAAACAATTGTAGAGACCATGTCATTCAATTTTCACCTTGATGATGGTTAAGTGGAGTCACCTAACCTCCTTGGCATTCAAAGTCATTAGATTCTTACCCCTCCCACCGTAACTGGTCACCAAAAAGGATTCACTGTTGCAGCAGTCAGTGCTGCAGTAACAAATGCACAATCCTGGTGACCTGGCACAACAGACAGTGAAATATATACAGTCTAACGTGGCCTTCCTGGGACTCTTCTCCATCCCGTGACTCCAAGTTCTCTTTATTTTATAATATAGCTGCCTTACCATGTCATTTCTAAAGACATTTCAGCACAGAAGAGAGAGAAAAGGAAAGAGGCACCCCAGCTTGTGACTGCCTCAGCCTGAAAGTAATGTGTATCATTCTGCTTTCAAATCTTTGGCCAGAAGGAGTCTCCTGGCCTCAACCTAACTGCAAGGGAGAGTGGGAGAAAGTGGAAGAAAATGCAGAATAGCTGGTGAGCAATAACCATCTCAGCCTCAATTAAATGATTGATTACATTTGATTCTCTGCTGAGCCAAGTTCAGAAGAAGCACATGGGGAACATGGAATTCTCAGCACCTTGAAATCATTGTCCAGAACCAACCTGGAGTGCAGAATGCACCCATTCTGGAGGCACAGTATACTGACTGCCTGGCTTGCCATCTTCCAGCAATAAGACCTTTGACCGGTCTCATAGATCCTCTGAGCTTCAGCGTGTGCATCAGTAAAATGGAGAGAATACTGACGTAGCGAGGCAGTTGGGAGGATCAGAAGAAATGGCTGCAAAGCATCTGGAAAAGGACCTAGCAAATACAACACATATAATTTTAAAAGTAGCAATTATTATTATTGTATTTTAGTGATAATAATAAAAAGGCAATATCATCTTCATTATGTAAAATAATGAGTTAGTATATTTAATTTACCGAAAATAATGAAAACAATTTTGAAATGTATGCATCTCTGAGATTCCCTACTTGAGTTCAGAATCAGCTCTGACCCTGCATTTAATTTACTTTTAGCAGAAAATATAGCATATCATTACCTTTAGAGTTTCTCATTTCAGAAAGAAAAAGAAATCAAGCTTTTAGAGTAATTGCAAAATTTTTAAAGGGACCTAAGTGAAAGCAGAGTGGTAAGTTTCCATGACAATATCTGAACAACAGAAAGGGAAGGAAGGGAGAGGGGAAAGGGAACATTTAATGAACACTTACATGATGTTAAACAGTGTGTTTGCCACTTTACATCCAATATCTGGCTAAAGCATGGGATGATGCAATGAGATCAGTATAATGGTCACAGTTTTATGGAAGAACAAACAGACTCAAAGGTAGACTTTCCTCGGTCAACCATTTAGAATGTTGCCGAGAGGGACACGGTCCCTATTTGTGTGAAAGCCTTGCCTACACGGTCCTGTACCATCCAGTCTCCTGCAGTTGCGTCTTCTTCCCATTTCTCATTCTGAATGTCCCATGTCGTCACAGCTTGATTCCTCTGTTTGTTCACAGTCTTTCTCAGAGCTTCTCCAGAGTTAGCACACCAACCCCCTTCCCAGCTTGATTGCTCACGAGCACAGCAGGCTCCTCTTTCCTTCTGAACACAGGAAATCTTTCCTTAGATCCATTGCCTTGCCTACTCAGGGAGAGTCCTTGCTCGTCGTAGTAAGCCTAGGGTGAAGGTGGACAGAGTGGTGGGGTGGTGAAATCACCGCGCTCCTCATCCGTCCCAGTAAGGACAGTGGGGCAGAATAATCAGTGAGGAAATCAGATGAGTTCCAGGATGCGTGCGTGGTCTCAACGGGTCTCCTCACAGGTTCCTTATTAACAGAAAGAGGAAAAACAGTACCTACGCAGTGGTGTTAGTAATAGAGGAGGAGCATAGGGTTATCACCTGCCTCTGGAAGTGATGCATTGAGGGGGAACACCACCACTTTTGAGAATTGCTACCAGGATTAGGTTGCTGAAACTAATCATAAGGACGTATCGGACAGTCCACACCAAAGAATAGCCTGCAGCTGGCCGGGATTCTTTAAAAATGTCCATGTATGAGAGTGAGAAGTCCAGAGGAACCTTCCAGATTAAAAGAGGCTTAAGAGATATGGCCACTTAATAGCCCGGGTCCTGTACCAGAAGGGCAAGGCCTTAAAGGACATCATGGGGATAAAGGACAAGTGTGCAATAGTGGAAGGTAGATTAGATGAGAGCATTTTGTAACATTACCTTTCCTCAATGCACAGTATTGTGGCTAAGAGAATATTCTTATTCTTAGGAATTATGCATGCAAGTATTTAGAAATAAAAGGGAAAAATATACAAAGTCTACTTTCGAATGGCTTGGAACAATCATTTAAAATTTGTAATTTATGCACATATGTATGTGTATGCAGATACATTATGTCTATATATGTTTATATGTATAAATATACATATATATATTCAGAGAGAGAGCAGACAATAAAACAAATGTGGCAAAATGTTAAAAATTGCTGAATCTGGAGAAGTATACTAAGAGAAAGAGACTGAATTTCCAGCAATTCAATAAGCTTTAGAAGTTTGAACAAATTGAAGTTTCTGTTAACAGCAAGCAATTATTGGGTGCCCATCCTTCACCACAGATTGTCCTGGGCGGGTCACCAGCATTCTTTGCAAAGTTTTTTAATAGCTCTGGGTGTGGAAACTGTTTCTTCACTTTCATTTTAGTGGTGAATAAATCAAAGCAGGCTGCTCCCTTTGGGACATGGCAGGATTCTGGATTTGAATTCAGATCGGGCTCACTTCCTTTCACTGCGAGAAGAGGCAGTTCCCATGTGAGGTGAAGGGCTGAGGGTCCAGCCTGCAGGAGCCCACGGCCTTTAGGAGGACAGCAGGAAGGCAGGTGAGTCACTGGATACCTTAGGGTGGTGTGATAAGTACTGTTAAGTTCTTCCAGCTGGTATTTACTCAACACCTACTAGGTGCCAGGTGTTCTGCTAAGCCCTCTGGGGCCAGTGCTGTGCACATCAGCTCTGCCCTCCCGGACCCTCCCTTGTGGTGGGTGAGGTTGACACTAGTGGCACGAGCACCGTGGAAGCACACAGAAGGGGCCTCCGAGCCAGACCAGTTGGTCAGGAAGGCTTCTCAGAGGAGCCGCGGCTTCTGGCTTACCGGATTTTCCAATGGTGGGCCTGGAGGTGCTGCCAGATTGGATTTTTCAGGAAGAACCTTTGAAATCTTGCTCATCCTTAGGTTCTACAAACCCGCCAGGCACATTCCGTAATTGGAGAACTGAGAAAAGCACTAGCCAGGTGTTTTCTATTGCGTGCAGCCTGCACTCTGCCTGGTGAGTGGCTATATCCGCAGCCATAACCACAAGGAGCCCTGTGGGATGAGCTCTCCTAGGGCGGCCTCTCCGTCAGCCTTCCAGGGCACAGGAGCCAGCAGACAAGTCCCAGCAAGCCTGACCCGGCAGCGAGAAGAATTTGGGGGTGGAAGCGTGGTTTTGAACCGCAGCCTTAGGGGTTCCTGCTGTACCGGGCTTCTGCGGTTTGCTTTCGGATGAGAGGAAATGGTTCCTTAAGAAAAGCCATTCCAATCTTTCTGTCTCGTTTTTTCCTGAGTTGCTCAACACCTTTTCAGACGCTCTTGTTTTCACAGAGAAGAACAAAGCCGCCTCCCGGAAGCCGTACCTGGGGTTTTGTTCTTGCCAATACCGTGCAAAGCAGCAGCCCACATGGCTTTGTAAGTCAGAAACAAGAACCCTTCAGTTCCGTCCAAAGATCAAAATCGCAGTAACGGAAGAATATGCTCCCAGTTTTATTCAGAGCATTCCCTGACATGACCTCGTTGCATTTTCAGAGCAGACGTGCGGAAGGTTAGAGACTGTTGCGGACAAAATACGTGGGGATTTCCACACCCCTTTGGGTGATGTGCCAGGAACCTGTGAAGGAACCCGGGGCCTGCCCCTGGGGGTGGGGGTGGAGCCCCTCTTAGGGCAGGAAGCCCAGCTGGCTCCTGTCTCTGCCTTTTGCTCAGCCAACCCTGCTGGCGGGAGCTGTTTGCTTGTGGTTGTTCCAAGTATTGGAATTCTGGGTAACATCTCCTGAAAAAAAGGTCTCACAGATGAAAAAGAAGAGAAAAATAGTTTAGAGAGTATTAATCAGTTTCAATGTCTTCATAAAAAATACAAAATATGAATACAGGCCCAGAAAAGGAAATGATTTGCCTAAAATAACAGAACGAACTAAACAGCGGCCGAGCAGGAACTAAGCCTTCCCCCTGGGTGTCATTTTAGTTTGTACTCGAGGGCAGCACTTGCTGGGGTCTGGCTACGGCACTCACAGTGAATGGAAAGACCCAGACATCTGCCCCAAGAAGCAAGACACATAATAATAATAAAAATAATAATAATAGTAAGCATAATGATAATAAAATCCCTGAAAAATGTCCAAAATCTCTGGCATGGCTCCCCACGCCGTCCTGGCACGTGCCAGTGCAGATACGAGTCCCCTGCCTCCGAGGGGTCACAGAAGGCCTGGTGCAGCTGCCTCTCCCTCCCAGAGCCTCTGTTTCCCCTCCAGAAACCAATCTAGAGATGGTAGCTCATCACCTTCTCTTTGGGGCTCCAGAATGGGGCTTCCAATTAGGAGGCAACGAGCAATGTGAACTTTCGTCCTAACTACAAGCCTGACTCTGTGCTTTCCAGTGTAAAATAAGAAGATTTTCTAACGCTGGTGCTGCTTCAAGCTGCCTTGCCGGGCGCACAGAAGGACAGCCAGCTTCCAGGTGAGGGAACGGAGACTCCCCTGCAACATGCAAGAAGCGCAGAGGGGCAGTCCCATCACCGCATGGAGTGCCTCGGAGGAGAACTGGGTTCTAGTCCAGCTCCTTCCCGAGGGAGTGGTGGGCCGGAGATGCTGCCTAAGGACATGTGATACGTTATGTGCCACCTAGAGGGCCTAGGGCAGGAGCAGGAGGCTAAGGTGGTGGCTGCAGCTGAGTCAGCAGCACCAGGCGGGTGAAGGGACAATTATTCCCAAGCATTCAGCAGATCCAACGCACTTTCAAACACACCTCTTCCTCCTGTGCATAAAAAGATGTTTGACAGTTTCCTCACCTGTAACTTCTTAGACGGTTCTCATGCTGTCTGCTCTTTCCTTCCCTCCCAGCAACTCTCTCCCTGGTGGAAACAATACCGCTTTTTCTGTTCAGTCCCTACAGAAAGCAACAATTATATTCATTTTAAAATTGATGACAACAGTGAAACTCCTCAGAACTATAAAAAACAGTTAAAACCCCAAAGCTGGAAGGTGTTGATACTCCATGAAATTTTAATGATTCGATAGATTCTAGAGTAGGGCTTGGCCTCCCTCCGGCATGTGAATAATGCTATCTTTTTGTTAAAAAAAAAAAGCAGTTACATTATTATTTCTTTGATGATGTACAGATCATTTTCTTTCTGTGAAGATAGAATGCTCATTTTCATAGACACAAAGGAAATTAAGGAATGTCTACTGAGCTTTTAGCCCTCAGGACACACACTACTATTCCCAGCTTATTTTCCACTCGTGCCCAGAGGAGCAAAAGATAAGCACATTTTGTTGTTCCTTGTCACACTGCAAGATGATAACATGGACCAAATAAATAATGAGCAATCTGGCAAATTTTCCACCTGTACTATAGGTTAGAACTGGCCAAACGCCTTCCCACTTTTTTCAAATGACTTGTTTTGAAATTCACCTAGATTTGACCCTACTCTCTCACACCTGCTGCATCTGTGCTCTTGAGCATATTACCTCGCTTCCCTGAGCCTCACTTTCTGCATCTGTAAAATGGAGCTTAGACTAGTACTTCATAGCATTACGGGGCGGACTGAACAAGAAAATATGTACTTGAGCACAACGCCTTACCTATAATAGGCCCTCAGTAAAAGTGATTTCCTTTCATTTCACTCGAGCTCCTGATGAGGTTTCTGACATGGGTGGCTAACACTGTAATGCATACTCGACAGTGAAGATCCCTGAGCACAGAGAAATAAAATGAACTGATCAAGATAAGACAAATGGTAAGTATTGGTATAAATCATTGGTCCTCAATCGAGCAAACATTTGGCAATATTTGGAGATTTGGAGCTTTCACAATGGGAAAAATATTGGCACCTGGTGGGCAGAGGTCAGGTAAACGTTTAACTGAGTTAAAGACTGCCTAGCGGTCAGGACTGGAGTTCAAGATCCGGGCTTTTCTCCCCAGAGACAAGAGTCCCCTCCCACTGCAGCCTCTTCCAGGTCACGCCTCTCAGCACCTGCTGCACTGTTGTTGCTGTCAGTGATGGGCCAGCGCCTCCTCTGTCAGTGGGGACTGTCTGGGCCCTGTAACTCTCTCCCAGGCCCTGGGGAGCCAGTTATCCTATTTTGGGCCCACTGTCCAGCCTTCTCCCTCCACCAGTGGTTCAGCCTCACCTGTGATATGACCATGCAGAACCTTTCAGTCTGCAGCTGCTAAGTGCCCTGCAGTGCACAGAACAGCAGAGATTGTCTGGCTGAAAATGTTGGTAAGGGCAAGGTGGAGAACCCAGGTTTAGATCTATGTATTCTGACACCAAATCCGGGGTTATTTTCAAATCACCTTACATTTCCGAAAGTACATCAAAGCACCTTGTAAAACTGAAGCACTATTTTTGTTATTTGAAAGGCAGTCTAATACAATAGAAAACTTTAAGGTTTGACATATCTGGGTCTATTCTCAGCTCTACCACTCATTAACATCTAATCTGAGTGACCTCAGGCAAAATTAACTCATCTTAGCTCTGGTTTTCCATTATTTGTGAAATGTAACAGGATGCTTCAAAAGCTAAAAATGATATAGGGAAATGACGGAGTATGGTGCCAGTACATGGTAGGAATCCCATTCACAGCAGCTACAATAAAATGACTATTATAGTTGACCTGTCATCTATGGACATGGGTGTAGATAAATGTGGTGACTTTTTTTTTCCAACAGATATTTATGAGTACCTACTTTCTATGTGGCAAACATTGAAGAATCAGAAATGGACCACATAGAAAGAGCCTGCTGGGATGGAGTTTCCATTAGAGATGGGGAAATGGACAAGACTTAAAGAGAGAAATATAAGATAGTTACAGATGGTGGTCAGGGAAGTCTTCTGGGAGGAGGCAACTGGAGTAGAGACCCAAAGGGTAAGAAAGCACAAGAGAAAAGAAAGGGAAGAACATCCCTAAGAGAAAGAATAACTAAAGCAACAGCACCATACAGGAGGCATTTAAGGAAAGCAAGCAAGGAGTGCTGGGGCATAGAGCAGCCCCAGCAGGTGCTAGGACAGAGGTCTTTTCACCCTGCAGAGAACTGTGGGGAGGGGTGTAAGAGGCATACTGACTTGTCACTTGGCCCTGAGTACTTCCTCTTTGAAGGTTTCTACCTCCAAGGCTGAACCCTGAGGTTTATCACCCCAGAGTCCTGCCTTGAACAAAAATCCTCCATTGATTTTTGAGTTCTAAGCAGACTCTATAGTGGGGCCTTGGTAAAAGGAAACATAATTTTAGGAGTTCCTGTAGGATTAATGATGACCAAGAGTCAAGCAGGGTCTATTTCCCGTGTAACTGCAGCAGAGAGACCCTGGGTTATGGCATAGTAAAGGCTGAAATGTGCATCTTCTGGCCTCAGCAAAGTTTGGAAAAGACGTCAGTCACAGCAATAGACTGAAGTTAAGATGACATGATCCTCATTTCCCCCCAGACTGACAAGGAGGAAATGAACAGATTCTCTAGGCAAAGCTTCAGAAAGCTGCCCAACCCCAGGAGAAAGGCTCTGCGTGGTCACGTCCAGCCTGTGCACAGGTGAGGCTGAACCACTGGTGGAGGGAGAGGCTGGGGAGCAGGTCCCAAAGAGCCCAACTGTCTCCCTAGGGGGTGGGAGAGAGTTACAGGGCCCAGATGCTCCCCACTGACACGGAGAGGCACTGGCCCGTCACTGACAGCACCAGCTGGGCAGCAGGTGCTGAGAGGCGTGACCTGGAAGAGGCTGCAGTGGGAGGGGACTCTTGTCTCTGGGGAGAAAAGCCCGAATCTTGAACTCCAGTCCTGAAGGCTCACATGCTGACCCCTAGGCAGTCTTTAACTCAGGGAACACCAGGCTGGTGACTGACTGAGACCGGTGCAGACTCGGATGACCCTGACCTGGATCTGTGAGCCCCTCTTCCCCAGGTACCCTGACACCATCTTGGATTAAAAAACAGGAGTATGGGGAAAGTAAGCTGAAAGAGGGAGCACTTAACTGTAAGGAAATGCATTGTCCACAAAAGATCACCTCAATTATTGGATAGGACTCAGTTTTCTAGATTGGACTAAATTTAGATTCTCCTCCATGACCCAGTGGAGTAGGAAAACTAAATAAAACATAGAAATAGGAAGATGCTTTTTTTTTTTTTTTTTGGTTTTTGCACATTGTAGTGTGCTATGAATACATGCGATAGATACAAGGAATTAGTTGAGTTGGTATCAGGAGAAGTTTCCTAAATTTGAGAGGACCAGATGAGCAGAAGTGTTTGTTTCTTTAAATAAAAGAAGAAAATCAGGTCAGCACCAGATGGGAAAAGACACTGTCCTTTGCAAGTGGGTCGAGTCCTCCACGAGCCTTGGGAATGTTTGATCGTGTCCTCTGTGCCTGTCTTCTCCTTTTCTTTACCTTTGAGGCTGACCCTCAGTGCCTGCCCCCAACTGTCTGCTGGCCTTTTAATTTCTGAGTTAACGTCCTGCCTGGAAAAGGCCCAACTCTGGTAAAAGCTGCCAATTATAGACCCAGGGCTTATGATGAAGGTTGCTAAATAAAATATAGGATGCCCAATTACATCTGAATTTCAGATAAACAGCAAATAACTTTTTGTATATGTATGTCCCAAATGTTTCCTGAAAATACTGCATGGGACATAATGTTACTAAAAAAGAATTGCCTGAAATTTCAATATAACTGGCTATTCTATATTTGTGCCTGTTAATCTGGAAACCCTACTCAGAACAACAGCAAACCTGGACTCTGACGGCCTGGCAAATTGAAAGGGGAATGGATACCCAGCCAGCCAGCCACCAGCCAGCCACCCTGTGCTCCCTGTGGACTGAGAGGGCAGACCCTGCCTCTAGCATGCATGGATGTACAAATGTAAATGCAAATGTATCTCTAAATATACATATATTCAAAATTGAGGTTCTGGGGAAAGAGTGGCCTAGAAGGTTGAAAATGCCCAGCCACCCTGGGTCTTCCCAGGGCAAGGAGATCATCTTCCCTTCATATCAGTATCAGGGCCTCACAAGGATGTCATGCGGAGGCATTATTATAACCACTTCACAAAGGGGAAACTGAGACTCAAGGGGTAAAGCAGGCAGTGAACAATAGCAAAAAGTGAACTAGATGTATAACCTGTAAAACCAAAATTTCAATTTCAACTCTATCCAGATAGTACTCCAGAAATGCCTAAACATTTTTAAGTCTCTGCTTGTCATCTTTGGGATAAAATAATACACGGACCACAGGGCAGAGGGAGTATTTCATGTATTGACATGTGCAAAGAACCAGTGGCATAAGGAGGTACCCAGAAAATGGGAGCTATTGGCTCAGTTTCTTTAAGTTTCCCAGGAAGAGTGATGCCATGATCAAAATCAAGGGCTTGGTACATAGCATAATCATGCACACATGGAGTTATTTAATAAAGCAGATGTGAATTCATGTCGAGTATTCAGCTCATTCCTTCACATTAAGCATTGGCCTACTCTACCATCCTATTTTCAAGTGCAAATAGTTATGGTTTACTCTCGTAATATCTTGAGTCATGGATCCTTTTAATGAATTAAGTTCGTTGAATCAATTTGCCCAGCAGCAGCAGGCTCTGGGCCAGGGAAATGCCCCAGAAATATTAGACCCAAGCTTTTGTTACCTCTGAGTAAAGCAGGATGGGCAGAAGACTAGAAGGGGGTTATCAACATGAGCAAAGGGAAGGGCAGGGAATCCTGGAGCACAGGTGGGGCTAGTAAAAGTCAGCGAATGACGATAGGGGCAGTGGGGATGCACACTATTTTGGTGGCAGATGATGTCCCATAATCCCCACCTCTTTAAGAAGTGCAGAAATAGCCATAGCATTTTGCTTTTTTTAAGACTAGAAGACAGTTTTATTTAGCAAGGCAGAAAGGTGGCCTGAGAGCTCAAAACCAGCCTAGCCACAGTATTTCCTAATGAAACACAGTGTCCGTTTCTCATCAGTGAGCTTTACCTTGCAAAAGAGTAAAGTAAGTGAAATATGTATTTGAGTGAAATTCAGCCTCCTTCCTCTACCCTGGGATGAACAGCCAGGAGACGTGGAGCTGGGAAAGGCAGGAGTGAAGATGAGAGTCTTGAGTTCCCGCCACCCGTCGCTGCTGTACCAAGGATCACTGCCATAACGCCCATTCCTAACTGCAAACCACCTGGGAGTCCTGGTAGGAGGCTTACTTCTGAAGGGGGTTTTGCGCATGTAGAAAATCAAATTTACTACTTGCTCTTTCTTCAGTGTTCAATGTAATTATATTTATAAGTATGTTAAGTGAAGTTTCTCTAAACATTTAAACTTACAACTAATAAATCAAAATGTAAACTTCACTACTCCTTTCAAATTATACATTTTTGAAAATTATAAACCTTAGTTAAATCCTCTTTCTCAATAAAATAAGCCTAATGTGACCCATTCCCTTAAGTGCTTCAAACACCTTAAAAACAGCCATGCAATTCACAAAGTACCATAATGATTAAAAAGTGTATTGCTGTATTTATATCAACCTATAATAAAATTAGTGACCCTATAGTGACCCTATAGATACAGCTAATTTCTTCATTCTTTACATACTTCAATATATTTTAATGCATCTCTTCAGGTTGCAGAGACTTACCAAACAAAAAGTTTATAGTAGGCAACCGAGATTGTTGAATTATCAATGAATTGACTACTGATCAGAACAAGGGATGTGGTTAGGATGTGCAAAGTGACTCAAACACCAGCATTTCTTACCGGGTTCCTCTTAGAATCAAGATTAACTCATTGTGTCAGTGAGAACGTCCACAGCCATGCCTTTGCCTGTGATTTTGTGTCCCTGCTGTCTCTTCCTTCATTACATCTGTATCACAGAATGTGTTATGCTCTTCCCCAAATTATATGTTGAAGTCTTAACCCCCAGGGCCTCAGAATGAACTGTATTCAAAATTAGGCCTCTTTAAAGTGGTAATTCAAGTGAGGTCCTTAAGGTGCATCCTAATCCAATATGGGTGGTGTCCTTCTAAGAAGAGGAGACTGGGAAACAGACACGTACAGAAGGGAGACAATGAGAAGACACAGGGAGAAGAAAGCCAGCAGTCTGTAAGCCACACAGAGAGGCCTGGAGCAGTTCTCCTTCACAGTCTCAGAAGGAAACCCTGTAGACATCTTGATCTCAGACTGCTGGCCTCCAGACTATGAAACAATCCATGGCTGTTTAAGTCTGGGGTGCTTCGGTTCAATGGCCCTGGCAAACTGACATAGGATATGCAGCCTGAATTTACAATTTAACTAGTTTTACAGTTTTTGCTTCTCAGTAAAATGAGTTGAATCATCTGGAGGCTTTGTTTTCTAAGTGATCAGAGGCTGACTTGAGCTATCTGCCCTTCCTCCTGAATTTTGACCCATCCCTTAGACGGCAACCCACTGACACATTTTCCACCTGACTCTTGTCTGCTGTCCCTTGAGCTCACGGGCCCTTCTGCTCTTGGTGTAATTCCTGTCTCTTTTCAGAACCTTTTGCCCACCTCTCCCTACTATGCCCCAAGGTGGGTAAAAAAATATGTCCCAATACTTATAAACAGGTACATGAAAAACTAGGACATCATGTATGTCAATAGTTCCCTGCCAAATTTAGTTTATTTAAAAATTGCCTTCACCCTTCTTTGGTATTATAATTATTACCACATACCTTTTAATGAACTTATTTCATCTTTGAATGGCATGGCTTTCTTAGAGATTCAACACATTCCAACTAGCTATAGTTAATATTCTCTTTTGATGCTCAAATCATCATAAAGTGGCAAGTCGGATTTGTTAAGAACTATGACCTTTGCCCTTTCAGGGTGACACTAGATATTTTTAAGTTTCCTTGGCTTCTGGAAGTCACTGTAGCTTAAAATCCATTCAAATGTTTCTCCCTCCCAATACATGGGATCACTTGATCTTGATAGGGCTCAGTGCAGGCTACCCCAAGATATGACAGACATATTGATTATTTTGAATTAAAGTTACCTCAGAAACAACCAGTGCAAAAAGGACACTCTGACCCTCCTCTCTGACCCCCGAGAACAGGAAATAAATCTCCCCTAGGGAAGGTCCCGTCCCTGCACCAGGGGGGGGTAGAGAGATGTCCTTCGGCTGGACATAGAGAGCTCAGGCTGGAAGGCTGTGTAAAACAACTCCTTAGTTTCTTCACTAATTGGTTTCCAAGCCTAAATTTCTTTGTCTTGTCAGTTTCACAGATTTATTGTCTCCTTGTCTAAGAGCTATGAAAGCTGCCTGCTTTGGTCATTTCTTTAAGTCTCATATTTCTATGAGCTAAGGTACATTTACATGACATTTTTCTCCTGTTAATCTGTCTCATGCCAATTTAGTTATTAGACCAGCCAAAGGAACCAAGAGGGTTGGGGAGGGGATTTTCCTTTCCCAGACAGTCTCCAAGGAGTCTTGGTTCCTTCTGGCTCGAGAACTGGCTGTGCTGGGAGAGTGAGCCCTGGTGCCCAGGGTCATGTGGGTCTCCCCGCTGAGGGCAGGGCTGGGAGTCAGCTGCTACCACTCTGCGGACAGAATGGAAACAAACTATTTCTAGTCAAGGTCATGAAACTCACATCTCTAATTTAGATTTTAAGAATAATAAATTATTTTAACTTCAATATGCCTAAATTAGATTTTAACCCATCACCCCAGATGTAATTATGTATCCTTGTATTTCTACTTTCTTTCTGTGTGTCATCAGCTGCCATTTGTAATCACTTTATTGACCCTAAAAAGTGCAAAGCACCTCATAAATTGTCTCTACATCTCATCCCTTGACTGTTAGCATGGATACAAAATAACTCAGCCTATTGTATACATGTGGGGAGCACAGAACAATGACACAGGCAGGGCCCGTTGAGTGTATTTCATAGGAGTCAGCCTGATTTTTAAGGATGTAATTTATATGCCCAAAGACCTTTACCTACTTGCCTCCCCTCTCAGGCCTTCATTTAACTCATCCATCATATATATTTTTTTATCTAAAAAAAAGGAAACAGAAAAGGCCAGATTCCAATTCTGTGAGTCAGGAACGAATTAAATCCAGGATCAAATCTGCTTCATTCCCTGAAGGATCTTTGCAGGATGCATGTGGTCCTGAGAGCTCTCTCCTAGTCCCATAAAACAAACCACTGAGCCTCACTCAGCCGTTCTTCCCTCGTGTGAACTTGCAGATTAAAAGTGTTAAACTGTGTGAGAGCACTTTATAAACCTGAACCATGTGCAAATTGTCGGCATTTCTATCACAAATTAACGATCATGATAATGAGTGAGTTATTTCAGGCACTAGCTGTAAGGCACTCACCTAAGCGTCAGCAGCCAAGTCCTTACAAAGTCCTTCTATATTGGGGATTTCCAGCTCAGCGCTCTACCTGCCAGATTATGCAGCATTTCGAATATGAAAATGAATTCCATGGATGAGAAGCGACCGTTCACCCACGGGCGGGGCTCTCCACTTTCCCTGCACCCCTGTCAGGAAGACGCCTGACCGGAAAGGCCCCACTTACCTGAGATACAGGCCAGTCCCCTAAGGACAGTGACGCCAGCTGCTCTGCCCCTAAGAAGCACAGCAGACAGCTGCGTTAGGGTGTAAAGCACGCAAGCCTTCCCGGCCTGTTTTATTCATTCCAGTTCCCAGGACAGCCCTCCAAACTGACTGAGAGGCACACCTTTGTCACCATTTCAACAGAACCAAACAAAGCAAGCTCATGATACAGCAGTTTAATCAGAGGACGCAAATCACTGTGCTCCCATTTCCCTCACCCTTTGGTACAGGTCCTGCCTTCTAGACAGGAAAGAACTCAGCTCAGACACGGGCAGGAAGAAAAGCAAAGTGACTCTGCGCACCCGCACATGGATGTGACTGGAAGGCAGGAGGGATGGAGGGCCACACACACGCTGCTGCACTTCTCCTCACGTGAAACCATTCAAAATGTTTGGCTTGTGAAATGACGTTGGTCAAACCTCTCTTTCCCGTGGCTAAGGAGTGAAAGGCAAGCATTGCAAACAATACATGATTTTTGTAAATTTATTTATGACACAGATACAGTAAAGTATACTTTTACGTACAGTTTTATGAGATTGACAAATGCCCACAATCAGGATAGAGAGCAACTCCAGCAGCTCTCAACTGCTCTGCATTCCAACACTCCACTTATCCTGTAACCCTGACAACCACTACCAGTTCTTCATCGCCATAGATTTGCTCTTACCCGATGTCATATAAATGGAAAATGGTCCTCACTCATTTGCATAATGTCTAATGTATTTTAAATCTGACCATGTTGTTGCATGTATGGGTAATTTGTTCTTTTTCATGGCCCTGTAGCATTCTATTGTCTGGCTACACTGGTATTTGTTCATTCATTCGTCAGTTCAAGGGCACTGGTATTTCCAGGTTTCCAGGTTTTGGTCATTATCAGTAAATCCACTATAAACATGTACATACATGTTTCTGTGTGATGTAAGTTTTTACTTCGTTGGGTAAATACAAAGAAGTGTGTTTTGTGAGTCCTATTATGAGTGTCATGTTTAACTTTGTAAGAAACTGCTAAAGTGGTTGTACCATTTTGGATTCCATCCTGCTGTATGTATAAGAATACCAGTTAGTCTACACCCTTACCAGCACTTAGTATCATCGAGAATAATTGTTGTTATTATTATTATTGCTATTATTACTGCAATTGCAATGTAATGGGATGATGTCCCATAATCCCCACCTCTTTAAGAAGTGCAGAAATAGCCATAGCATTTTGCTTTTTTTAAGACTAGAAGACAGTTTTATTTAGCAAGGCAGAAAGGTGGCCTGAGAGCTCAAAACCAGCCTAGCCACAGTATTTCCTAATGAAACACAGTGTCCGTTTCTCATCAGTGAGCTTTACCTTGCAAAAGAGTAAAGTAAGTGAAATATGTATTTGAGTGAAATTCAGCCTCCTTCCTCTACCCTGGGATGAACAGCCAGGAGACGTGGAGCTGGGAAAGGCAGGAGTGAAGATGAGAGTCTTGAGTTCCCGCCACCCGTCGCTGCTGTACCAAGGATCACTGCCATAACGCCCATTCCTAACTGCAAACCACCTGGGAGTCCTGGTAGGAGGCTTACTTCTGAAGGGGGTTTTGCGCATGTAGAAAATCAAATTTACTACTTGCTCTTTCTTCAGTGTTCAATGTAATTATATTTATAAGTATGTTAAGTGAAGTTTCTCTAAACATTTAAACTTACAACTAATAAATCAAAATGTAAACTTCACTACTCCTTTCAAATTATACATTTTTGAAAATTATAAACCTTAGTTAAATCCTCTTTCTCAATAAAATAAGCCTAATGTGACCCATTCCCTTAAGTGCTTCAAACACCTTAAAAACAGCCATGCAATTCACAAAGTACCATAATGATTAAAAAGTGTATTGCTGTATTTATATCAACCTATAATAAAATTAGTGACCCTATAGTGACCCTATAGATACAGCTAATTTCTTCATTCTTTACATACTTCAATATATTTTAATGCATCTCTTCAGGTTGCAGAGACTTACCAAACAAAAAGTTTATAGTAGGCAACCGAGATTGTTGAATTATCAATGAATTGACTACTGATCAGAACAAGGGATGTGGTTAGGATGTGCAAAGTGACTCAAACACCAGCATTTCTTACCGGGTTCCTCTTAGAATCAAGATTAACTCATTGTGTCAGTGAGAACGTCCACAGCCATGCCTTTGCCTGTGATTTTGTGTCCCTGCTGTCTCTTCCTTCATTACATCTGTATCACAGAATGTGTTATGCTCTTCCCCAAATTATATGTTGAAGTCTTAACCCCCAGGGCCTCAGAATGAACTGTATTCAAAATTAGGCCTCTTTAAAGTGGTAATTCAAGTGAGGTCCTTAAGGTGCATCCTAATCCAATATGGGTGGTGTCCTTCTAAGAAGAGGAGACTGGGAAACAGACACGTACAGAAGGGAGACAATGAGAAGACACAGGGAGAAGAAAGCCAGCAGTCTGTAAGCCACACAGAGAGGCCTGGAGCAGTTCTCCTTCACAGTCTCAGAAGGAAACCCTGTAGACATCTTGATCTCAGACTGCTGGCCTCCAGACTATGAAACAATCCATGGCTGTTTAAGTCTGGGGTGCTTCGGTTCAATGGCCCTGGCAAACTGACATAGGATATGCAGCCTGAATTTACAATTTAACTAGTTTTACAGTTTTTGCTTCTCAGTAAAATGAGTTGAATCATCTGGAGGCTTTGTTTTCTAAGTGATCAGAGGCTGACTTGAGCTATCTGCCCTTCCTCCTGAATTTTGACCCATCCCTTAGACGGCAACCCACTGACACATTTTCCACCTGACTCTTGTCTGCTGTCCCTTGAGCTCACGGGCCCTTCTGCTCTTGGTGTAATTCCTGTCTCTTTTCAGAACCTTTTGCCCACCTCTCCCTACTATGCCCCAAGGTGGGTAAAAAAATATGTCCCAATACTTATAAACAGGTACATGAAAAACTAGGACATCATGTATGTCAATAGTTCCCTGCCAAATTTAGTTTATTTAAAAATTGCCTTCACCCTTCTTTGGTATTATAATTATTACCACATACCTTTTAATGAACTTATTTCATCTTTGAATGGCATGGCTTTCTTAGAGATTCAACACATTCCAACTAGCTATAGTTAATATTCTCTTTTGATGCTCAAATCATCATAAAGTGGCAAGTCGGATTTGTTAAGAACTATGACCTTTGCCCTTTCAGGGTGACACTAGATATTTTTAAGTTTCCTTGGCTTCTGGAAGTCACTGTAGCTTAAAATCCATTCAAATGTTTCTCCCTCCCAATACATGGGATCACTTGATCTTGATAGGGCTCAGTGCAGGCTACCCCAAGATATGACAGACATATTGATTATTTTGAATTAAAGTTACCTCAGAAACAACCAGTGCAAAAAGGACACTCTGACCCTCCTCTCTGACCCCCGAGAACAGGAAATAAATCTCCCCTAGGGAAGGTCCCGTCCCTGCACCAGGGGGGGGTAGAGAGATGTCCTTCGGCTGGACATAGAGAGCTCAGGCTGGAAGGCTGTGTAAAACAACTCCTTAGTTTCTTCACTAATTGGTTTCCAAGCCTAAATTTCTTTGTCTTGTCAGTTTCACAGATTTATTGTCTCCTTGTCTAAGAGCTATGAAAGCTGCCTGCTTTGGTCATTTCTTTAAGTCTCATATTTCTATGAGCTAAGGTACATTTACATGACATTTTTCTCCTGTTAATCTGTCTCATGCCAATTTAGTTATTAGACCAGCCAAAGGAACCAAGAGGGTTGGGGAGGGGATTTTCCTTTCCCAGACAGTCTCCAAGGAGTCTTGGTTCCTTCTGGCTCGAGAACTGGCTGTGCTGGGAGAGTGAGCCCTGGTGCCCAGGGTCATGTGGGTCTCCCCGCTGAGGGCAGGGCTGGGAGTCAGCTGCTACCACTCTGCGGACAGAATGGAAACAAACTATTTCTAGTCAAGGTCATGAAACTCACATCTCTAATTTAGATTTTAAGAATAATAAATTATTTTAACTTCAATATGCCTAAATTAGATTTTAACCCATCACCCCAGATGTAATTATGTATCCTTGTATTTCTACTTTCTTTCTGTGTGTCATCAGCTGCCATTTGTAATCACTTTATTGACCCTAAAAAGTGCAAAGCACCTCATAAATTGTCTCTACATCTCATCCCTTGACTGTTAGCATGGATACAAAATAACTCAGCCTATTGTATACATGTGGGGAGCACAGAACAATGACACAGGCAGGGCCCGTTGAGTGTATTTCATAGGAGTCAGCCTGATTTTTAAGGATGTAATTTATATGCCCAAAGACCTTTACCTACTTGCCTCCCCTCTCAGGCCTTCATTTAACTCATCCATCATATATATTTTTTTATCTAAAAAAAAGGAAACAGAAAAGGCCAGATTCCAATTCTGTGAGTCAGGAACGAATTAAATCCAGGATCAAATCTGCTTCATTCCCTGAAGGATCTTTGCAGGATGCATGTGGTCCTGAGAGCTCTCTCCTAGTCCCATAAAACAAACCACTGAGCCTCACTCAGCCGTTCTTCCCTCGTGTGAACTTGCAGATTAAAAGTGTTAAACTGTGTGAGAGCACTTTATAAACCTGAACCATGTGCAAATTGTCGGCATTTCTATCACAAATTAACGATCATGATAATGAGTGAGTTATTTCAGGCACTAGCTGTAAGGCACTCACCTAAGCGTCAGCAGCCAAGTCCTTACAAAGTCCTTCTATATTGGGGATTTCCAGCTCAGCGCTCTACCTGCCAGATTATGCAGCATTTCGAATATGAAAATGAATTCCATGGATGAGAAGCGACCGTTCACCCACGGGCGGGGCTCTCCACTTTCCCTGCACCCCTGTCAGGAAGACGCCTGACCGGAAAGGCCCCACTTACCTGAGATACAGGCCAGTCCCCTAAGGACAGTGACGCCAGCTGCTCTGCCCCTAAGAAGCACAGCAGACAGCTGCGTTAGGGTGTAAAGCACGCAAGCCTTCCCGGCCTGTTTTATTCATTCCAGTTCCCAGGACAGCCCTCCAAACTGACTGAGAGGCACACCTTTGTCACCATTTCAACAGAACCAAACAAAGCAAGCTCATGATACAGCAGTTTAATCAGAGGACGCAAATCACTGTGCTCCCATTTCCCTCACCCTTTGGTACAGGTCCTGCCTTCTAGACAGGAAAGAACTCAGCTCAGACACGGGCAGGAAGAAAAGCAAAGTGACTCTGCGCACCCGCACATGGATGTGACTGGAAGGCAGGAGGGATGGAGGGCCACACACACGCTGCTGCACTTCTCCTCACGTGAAACCATTCAAAATGTTTGGCTTGTGAAATGACGTTGGTCAAACCTCTCTTTCCCGTGGCTAAGGAGTGAAAGGCAAGCATTGCAAACAATACATGATTTTTGTAAATTTATTTATGACACAGATACAGTAAAGTATACTTTTACGTACAGTTTTATGAGATTGACAAATGCCCACAATCAGGATAGAGAGCAACTCCAGCAGCTCTCAACTGCTCTGCATTCCAACACTCCACTTATCCTGTAACCCTGACAACCACTACCAGTTCTTCATCGCCATAGATTTGCTCTTACCCGATGTCATATAAATGGAAAATGGTCCTCACTCATTTGCATAATGTCTAATGTATTTTAAATCTGACCATGTTGTTGCATGTATGGGTAATTTGTTCTTTTTCATGGCCCTGTAGCATTCTATTGTCTGGCTACACTGGTATTTGTTCATTCATTCGTCAGTTCAAGGGCACTGGTATTTCCAGGTTTCCAGGTTTTGGTCATTATCAGTAAATCCACTATAAACATGTACATACATGTTTCTGTGTGATGTAAGTTTTTACTTCGTTGGGTAAATACAAAGAAGTGTGTTTTGTGAGTCCTATTATGAGTGTCATGTTTAACTTTGTAAGAAACTGCCAAAGTGGTTGTACCATTTTGGATTCCATCCTGCTGTATGTATAAGAATACCAGTTAGTCTACACCCTTACCAGCACTTAGTATCATCGAGAATAATTGTTGTTATTATTATTATTGCTATTATTACTGCAATTGCAATGTAATGGGGTGTGATGAAGTCTCATGGTGGCTATAATTTGCACCCTCCTTAGGACG